CGTAGACTGCTCGCCCCCTCGTTCCCCCCAGCCAGGAGGGCGGGTGGGAGATTTCTGGGAGTGGAGGTCCACTCACCTTAAGGTGGCCAAGGTTGAGAAACACTGGTCTAATAGGCTATAAGTGGACTTGAGTGGGTTGAGCAGGCATTTGCACAGACATTTCCTGCAAATGCTTGTCCAAGTATGACAATTTTACTCTCCCTATTTCCTAGGGGAAAAACAAACAAACAAATAAAACCGTAGCTTGCCAAAAGCCATCCAGCGATTGCGTGAGCAAGCGAAGAGATGAACTGTGATGCCTCCTGGCTTAGAACTTACTCAGGCTTTTTATTGCATCTAATTCTGATTGTGCCATGAATTCCCCTAAGTTTCTTCTCCAGTGCTGCATCTGTCAAAAGGCCTGTTGAAATACACTTAGGGAAAAGCTGACTTTGGAGGAGTTAGTTCAAGAATGCTGATGCAAATATTGCTTCCAGGAATATGTTGGGTTGGGTGTGTGGCCTTGATTGCAGCTGTGTAACTACTTGAAATGTCTTTGAATTCTCCGAAACAATGATCAGCTGGGTTATTAGGGGTGCTTTCATTAAAAAGTTTTTGTTTTTCCTACTGCAGTACCAAATTAATGGAATGTTATGGGAAATCCACATGTTGTCTTTCATTTCTAGCCTTCTATTCATCTCATATAAGAGACAATAGTACCAAAGATTTGTCAGCCAAAAGGAGGATTGCATGAGATAGGAGAAGAAATTTGCCTTTCATTAATTTGGTTTTTCACTACTGCTTTGGTAAGCAACCATTCTGCTAGCTATACCAGCCTACTTTGGATTGCTGCCTCCCAGTTCTTGGACAACTAGAATAAAGAAGGAGAAAAAAAATTACATAAACTGAAGAAACTATAACTACAGTGGGGCAAAAAACTATTTAGTCAGCCACCAATTGTGCAAGTTCTCCCACTTAAAAAGATGAGAGAGGCCTGTAATTTTCATCATAGGCATCACTGCTCTAGAGGAGATCTGCATGGAGGAATGGGCCAAAATACCAGCAACAGTGTGTGAAAACCTTGTGAAGACTTACAGAAAACGTTTGACCTCTGTCATTGCCAACAAAGGATATATAACAAAGTATTGAGATGAACTTTTGATATTGACCAAATACTTATTTTCCACCATGATTTGCAAATAAATTCTTTAAAAATCAGACAATGTGATTTTCTGGATTTTTCATCACTGCTCTAGAGGAGATCTGCATGGAGGAATGGGCCAAAATACCAGCAACAGTGTGTGAAAACCTTGTGAAGACTTACAGAAAACGTTTGACCTCTGTCATTGCCAACAAAGGATATATAACAAAGTATTGAGATGAACTTTTGATATTGACCAAATACTTATTTTCCACCATGATTTGCAAATAAATTCTTTAAAAATCAGACAATGTGATTTTCTGGATTTTTCATCACTGCTCTAGAGGAGATCTGCATGGAGGAATGGGCCAAAATACCAGCAACAGTGTGTGAAAACCTTGTGAAGACTTACAGAAAACGTTTGACCTCTGTCATTGCCAACAAAGGATATATAACAAAGTATTGAGATGAACTTTTGATATTGACCAAATACTTATTTTCCACCATGATTTGCAAATAAATTCTTTAAAAATCAGACAATGTGATTTTCTGGATTTTTCATCACTGCTCTAGAGGAGATCTGCATGGAGGAATGGGCCAAAATACCAGCAACAGTGTGTGAAAACCTTGTGAAGACTTACAGAAAACGTTTGACCTCTGTCATTGCCAACAAAGGATATATAACAAAGTATTGAGATGAACTTTTGATATTGACCAAATACTTATTTTCCACCATGATTTGCAAATAAATTCTTTAAAAATCAGACAATGTGATTTTCTGGATTTTTTCCCCATTTTGTCTCGTGGGAGAACTTGCACAATTGGTGGCTGACTAAATACTTTTTTGCCCCACTGTATACCTATTCTTCCTAAACCAACCCAGGAATACTGTACTCCACACTGTTCTTTTTTGAATCTCATCCACATCATTTATCTAGAGCTCACATAATGGTGATAAGTAGAAGGAATTTATTAGGTTAATTTTTTATTGCTACCATATTATAGCTATTCAAAATACTATGTAATACAGAACCATAATCAGAATCATTCTTTCTTAGGAGTTGGTTCCACTAAACTAAATATAGCTGAGTTCTAGTAAAGATGTTTAAAACTGAACATAGTGAGATAAACAAGACTGGAAGCTTGATTCTAGGCATGTTTAGTCAGATGATGTCCCACTGGATTTATTATGTGTAAAATGTACATTTGAGTTACTGAAAATAGTGAAAGTAGCTTGATAACTGAACAGAATAGGATTTGAATTCATGCTTCCCTTTTCATTTCAAATTCCCATTTTCCAATGTGAATCAGAGGAGTTTATTTCTGATTAATTAACAAGTGTCTTGTTGGAAAAATGGGCACTCCACCTTTCTTGACAGAGGCATTGTTTCTTTCATAGTTGCATCACTGGCAAAAATTCAATTTGGTGTAGTTTTCACCACCCCAGCATCACCGGAAAATTGTAGCTGTTGGGTGTCTGCCAATCCAGGAACTAATAAAAGCATTGAGCAGAATTATAGTTTTGAAATTTTCATTTTCTAGATGGCACCAGTTACAATTATACTGCTGCTAATTACTAGGCTTTTGCTATGTTACATCTGAAAAACTTACCAGCATTTGAAGAAACCTGTTGTATTTCTTTTTAAGATGAAAGTCTCTGGCTTGGGAAGTCTGGCTCGAAAGTTTCTTCCTGTAAACTTTTGAGAGAGTGTCTTAACTGTTCTGATATAATTGACTAGTTGGAAAGAGTGTTTCATAAATCATTTAATTTATCACTATTATTAACTTCTTACATAGAGCATCAGTTGGAGGTCTGGATAAAAGTTGCCATCTCTCATTCTTTATCAGGAAATGATGAATTCTCTAACTCAAGTCAAGGTGGCAATTTGCTGTTCTTCAGTCTTAGCACTGCTGTAGCGAAGATAACTGGAGAAGTCCAGTTGAGACTTTGGTGTGGGTTGTTGCTGAGGCAGTGGCTTCTTTAGCATGTGCCAGTTGAACTCTCCTATTTGTCACTGTTTCTCAACTCATGAAGTAGAAATAATAATATCTCTGTATTCAAAGCATACGGACTATCTTAATGTCTTTGCAACATTCTGAGATTGTTGAATGGTGGTAGATCCACTGCACAGTATTATGCTACTAAATTCCCTTTGAACTGTACTCCACTTAATGCTTCATCACAAATAGGTAAGCAGCTTTTGAACACACCTGGAGCTCACTTTTTGTGACTGCACCTTCCTTTTGATCTATCAGTCTGATTTTAATTATAGACTAACCCCATATCCTGTTCTGATATGTCTGTCCTGTCCCTTACAGTGTTGTTATGTATCCAATCCAATGGTGGGATTTACAGAAAGTTGTTATGAAGTAATATGGGGATTTTAAATTGGATTGAAATATGAATTATCCACAGTTACAGAATGAGCAAATCGCTTAGTTCTAATCAGATTATTCAGGACACCAATAATTTATTCCAGTGTGAAGGGCCTATAAATATTGGTGAACAGCAATACTGAGCTAGCATGGTCACTAATGCAGGAAGCTGGAAGTTGTACTGCTTGAAGGCCATGCATTTCCCACTGACAACCTATTTATCTTCTTCCTGTATCAGAATTGTGTAGACTTCAATACATATTTCTTTTGTAACATTTTAAACTCAAGGAGGCTTACATAGATATGATTCCTATCTTGGTACAGTCCTGTTACAGGTTCTGACCTGGTTGCTTCTGAAACATGTATACAGTGGTACCTCGGGTTACGAACGCCTCTGTTAACGAACTTTTCGGGTTACGACC